GCATAAGGACAGTCCTTTATATAGTATTGACAACCACTCTCATTGTGATCGTTGGGAACAAACAACTGGATTTACAATTATCTTTCTTTACTTAACGGATCTCTGTTTACAAGCTTAACAGAAAAATAGTATTCAGAGGAAAAGGTGGAAAGCTATCATTGAACAATGACAGGATACAAAAATATTATTTTATACTGTCTAAACTCTTACACCTTATTCTATCCATTGGGAACTAACCGTTGGTGCAAGAAAAGTTTGTTCTATCCTTACAATGTCTCTCTCTATCAATGACTATAAAATAAAACCAAAGCTTCAAAGTTAAATTGCTGGAAGCCAGTTTTAATAGTCATTTTCTATTGGCCATCAAGCTTTATCATGTGGAAGGAAAGCAGTGGATTCTGAAGATGTTAAAGTTGCAATGCTATAAATTCTAAAGACCACTTAAAAAGAGAGAAAAGAAAGAAAGAAGATTTCAACAAGATGCCGTTTAACTATCATCATATGCATCTTGGATGAAACAGAAGAAGAAAGGAGTTGATTCTCATAGCTTGCTCAAAGAAGAAGAAGACCACAAGATGTTATTCTACTTTCAATCACATACATCTTGGGAGATCTCAGAAGAAGCAAGGAGTTGTTGCTCATAGCTTGCTCAACAAGAAGATGAAGAAGAACACTACAAGATGATACTCAAACTTCTGATTATATACATATTTGTAGAACATTATAATAAACACTAGAGTTGTTTCTCAAATAGTGTTTATGTTCATATCTCTTCATGTAAATTATTTTAACACTTGAGTTGTTGCTTATAGAAGTGTTAAACAATATGTGCTTAAATGTTTTGTGTAATCTGCTTAAAAGAAGCAACCATGTAAACACAAAAACCCCATCAATTGTTGTTGATTGATTCCTTGAGAGACTAAATGAAGGTTTGTTCTTAAGAAGATAATGGTTGCTGGTCATTAGGGGAAATCCTGATAGAAGATCTTAAGTGATTGAATTGTATTGGGTCAATGATTGTTATATCCGGTTGGATCACTAAACATATCATTAAAAGGTTCCTTGAGAGACCGAGTGAAGGTCTAATCTCAAGAAGATAATGGCTGCTGGTCATTATGGGAAATCCTGATAGGAGATTCAGCGGGATCAGATTCTCTTGGGTCAATGGTAGTCATATCTCAAAGAGGACTGAGTGAAGGTCAAACTCTTGTGAGATCACTGGTGGATATCATTGCAAGGAAATCCTGGTAGGAGATCTCGAGGGATCTGGTTCTATTGGGCCAATGAACGTTATATCTTGTTGAATCCCTGAACGTGTCATTGTGTGTTAGTCACCGACGATTTCCCATGTGATTGTAATCAGTTTGATTATAGTGGATTAAGTCCTTGGATAAGGTGAAATCATCCTTGCGAGGGTGGACATGAGTAGGCTAGTTAACTGTGAACCTAGATAAAATACTTGTGTCCTTTTCTCTTCATTGTCTTTATAACTATTATCATTTGAGTGCAAATAATTTCTAATGGGGAATGTTTTCTATGAACACAATTCAAATCCCCCTTTCATGTGTTTTCTCTAGCTTCAGTATTTTGTATGTGTTGGATTAAGGATCTCAACCAAACGCATTCTCGACTTTCCTCATGTAGATCTAAAAGTTATGCATGATTAGATGAAGTTATTGTTATTGTTTGTTTCACTCTTCTCCATGAAATAGTTGTACCACCACATGTAAACAACTAACATGTTTGTGATCTACCATTGTGAGGATCTGACAAGTAACCTGCATAACCTGTTAATTCGAGTTTGGATACTTTGGTATAAAACAGACTCATGTTTATTTTACCTCTAAGATAAGAAGTCTATATTTGACTCTGCTCAAATGTCTTCGTGTGGGTGAAGAACTTGCTAATAGATTGACCACAAATGATATATCAGGACGTGTATAATTAACAAGATGCATCCGTGCTCCAATCGCACTAAGATATGGTACTTCAGAACCAAGCAATTCTTCATCCTTTTCTCGAGGACTGAAAGGATATTTCTCTACATCTAATGATCTAACAACCATTACAGTAGACAACAAGTGACATTTGTTCATATAGAAGTTTTTTAACACCTTTTCTATATAGCCTTCTTGATATACAAGTATTCCTTTGTTCAAATGCTCAATTTGTAAACCTAGACATAGTTTTGTCTTTCCTAGGTCCTTCATCTCAAACTCTTTCTTTAAGAAGATCATAGATTTTGGAAGCTCTTCAGGAGTTCCAATAATATTTATGTCATCAACATAGACAGCTATTATTGCAAATTCATTTCATGATCTTTTTATAAAAATACAAGGACAAATGGAGTTATTTGTATATCCCTCTCTAAGCAAATATTCACTAAGACGGTTATACCACATGCGTCCATATTGTTTCAGCCCATAGAGATATTTGTTCAGTTTTGTGGAGTGGTTTTCTCGAGATTCAAAATTATGTGCATTTGGTACATTGAACCCTTCAGGGATTTTCATGTAAATTTCACTATCAAGTGAACCATACAGATAAGCTGTTACAACATCCATCATGTACAAATTAAGCCCTTCATGTGCTACAAGGCTTATTAAATATTGAAAAGTGCTTGCATCCATTACAGGTGAGTATATCTCATCAAAATCAATTCCAGGTCTTTGAAAAAATCCTTGAGTGACAAGTCGAGCTTTGTATCTCACAATTTCATTATTTTCATTTCGCATTCACATGAAAACCCATTTTTAACCAACTGGCTTCACGCCTTGAGGTGTTTGGACTATAGGTCCAAAAACTTGTCTTTTATAGAGTAAGTTTAATTCTGCTTCAATCGCATCTTTCCATTTTGGCCAATCCTCACTCTGTCTACAATTTTTAATAGACATTGTTTCATGATCCTCTTTGTCCTTTATCACATTGAGCGCTATATTGTACGAAAAAATATCATCAATGTCGACTTCGTGTCGGTTCCATTGTATTCCCTTTTGGACATGATTTATCAAGATCTCTTTATTTTCTTGAGTTTCAGGTACCTGATCAATCTCTTCTTGAGATTAAATGTTTATTAAGTCTGAAGATTCTTTTAGATTTTCTATATTCTCACTTGGGCCATATTTATTCTTAGCTCCCTTTCTTGTTCGAGGATTTTTATCTTTGGAACCGATTGGTCTGCCACGCTTTAGGCGTGGTTGAGACTCATTGGATTGTCCAACAAGGATATCCATTTTTATTGGAGCATTTACAACTGGTATATATGATTTAGTCACACCTTTTGGATCAATGAATTCACTTGGTAGTTTATTTTATAAGCTTTTCAAGTGAATTATCTTTGAACTTCTAGTTCACATTGTTTCGTTCGAGGATCAGGATGAGATAATGATAATTCATTCCAACTAATCTCTTTTTTCAGCTTCTTATTCTCTCCCCCTAATGTTGGAAAATTTAATTCATTAAAATGACAATCAGCAAAACGAGCAGTGAATAAATCTCATGTTGTTAGTTCAAGGTATTTTATAATAGATGGAGAATCATATCCAACATATATTCCCATCCTCCTTTGAGGACCTATTTAGTGTGTTGTGGTAGAGAAATTGATACATACACCGCACGTCCAAAAATTCTTAGATGGAAAATATTAGGTTCTTTACCAAAAACTAACTCTTAAGGGGAAGAGGTGTGATAACTCGTTGGCCTGATGCGAATCAATGTTGTAGCATGCAAAATTGCGTGTCCCCAAGCAGAAACTGGAAGTTTGTATCTCATAATAAGCGGTCTTGCAATTAATTTTATATGTTTGATAAATGATTATGCAAGTCCATTTTGTGTATGAACATGTGCTGCTATGTGTTCAATGTTAATTCCAATAGACATACAATATTCATTAAATGCTTGAGATGAAAATTCTGCAGCATTATCAAGACGTATTTTCTTGACAGGATAATCAGTGAATTGGGCTCTTATTCGAATTAGTTGAGCTAACAATCTTACAAACGCTTGGTTGCGAGTTGACAATAAACAAACATGTGACCATCTAGTTGATGCATCAAATAAAACCATAAAATATCTAAATGGCCCACATGATGATTGTATTGGCCCACAAATATCACCATGTATACGCTCTAAAAAACTGATAGATTCATTTCCATTTTTTGTTGGTGATGGAGGAATTATAACTTCACTTGCGAGCAAGATTTGCATGATAAATTATTTGATTGAATAATTTGCTAACTCACTAATTGATGACCACATCAATTTTCGATTATTTTTCGCATCATTATATAATCGGGATGGCCCAACTGGTCATGCCAAATTACAAATTTATTATTATTTGTAAACTTCTGGTTTACAATGGTGTGTGCTTCAATTGTACTAATATAAGTGTAGTACAAGCCCAAGGAAAAAGCCGGTAGTTTTTCCATTACACATTTTCTATCCAAATTATGTTGTGTAATACAAAGATATTCAATATCTCCATCATCTTTTGTTTCAATATGGTAGCCATATAAGGCGAATATCTTTGAAACTTAATAAATTTCTATTAGATTTAAAGGAATATAGTGTATTATCAATGTGTAATATTGTTCCTCCACTTAACAATATATTGGCTCTTCCAGAGCCTTCAATTATTTTTCAGGTGCCAAATATAGTGCTGACATCAGTATTTCGTTTTACTAAATAAGAGAAATATTTTTTGTCTTTGAAAGTTATTTGAGTAGTTGTACTATCAGCGAGGCAAATATCTTCATTAGTGGTGCAAGTGTCGATATTCATTCTTAAAAAAATAATAATAATGAGTTATGAGTGCACTTTAAACATACAAGTTATTTAAACAATAGATTATGTAAATGAACAGGAAGCAAATACACTATATTATTATAGGGAATTAAAATTCAAAAACATGAAGAAAACATTGAATTTAAAATTAAATTAAAAAACATTGAGAATCCAAAGCATTCATATTAACTAAAATAAATAGAAAAATTATATAACTTCTATTTCTTGACAACTCCATCTCTAATAAGGTGATCAATTTTTCCATCTGGATCAACAAAGACATCACCAATCTCTAAGTAAGTAACATCCATATTTCCATAATCGGGATCACCATCTTCATTAGCAAAATGTGTCTCAATCCTTGTATTTATACTTTTTAGAGATTTTTGATAAAGATAAACAAGGTGTTTTGGTCTACGACAAGTGTGGCCCCAATGGCCTTTCCCCCACAACGCTAGGAAATATTTTCTTTTTTTTTTTGCTATTATAACCACCATTTTCATTCTTTTCAGTATCTTTCCACTTCTGGTGAAAAGATACATTCTTATGATTGCCATTGTGGCTATGATCAAAATTAAGACCACGAGCATAATTCTGGGCACGACCACGATGTTGTACATACTGACTGTGTCTTGCTACATTCACTTCTGGGAATGGAGTTGTACCTGCGGGATGAGCCTCATGATTTTTCATCAAAAGCTTATTATTTTGTTCAGCCATAAGAAGACAAGATATCAAATCAGAGTATTTATTAAACCCTTTTTCTCGATATTGTTGTTGTAGGAACACATTGGATGCATGAAAAGTGGAGAATGTTTTTTCTAACATATCTTCATCAGTTACTTTTTCTCCACATAATGTCAGCTTAGAGGTTATTCTAAACATTGCAGAATTATAATCACTTACACTTTTAAAATCTTGCAAGCGTAAATGCATCCAATCATAACGAGCTTTTGGTAGAATAACCAATTTTTTATGAGCATGTCTCTCTTTTAAATTTTTCCACAAAACATATGGATCACTTACGGTAAGATATTCATTTTTAAGGTCCTAATGGAGATGACGACGAAGGGATATCATGGCTTTTGCCTTTTGTTGATCAATTGATGTATTTCCTTCTTTAATGGCATTACTGTGACCTTCTGCATTTAGATAGATTTCAGCATCAAGAGCCCATGGCAAATAATTCTTTCCCGAGATGTCAAGAGCCTCAAAGTCAACTTTTGTAAGAATTGGCATACTTAATTCTATTTAAAATATAAAAAAAATCAATAAATATCTCTAAAATAAATATTCAAACAAATCAGGTTAAATAAAAAGTTTACAAAGTATTTACAAATAGAAATTTTATACAAACAATTTATGTCTTATTGTTTTGATAACAAAAAAAATCTATATTTCAAAAATGTAAGGTTTTGCCAATTAATTTAGATACGTAATTAGTTATTTTTGTTCATAAATTTCAGTATTTTGATGTACAATCAGTTTTAATAATTAATAAAAAAATAATATATTTCAACAATCAATTAATATATTTTAGCATATATATATTGATGGTTCCTGACCAGAGTGATCGTCAAGGCCTTAGGTCGAGCTGAAGTTGAAAGCGAGATGGGGAGGGTACCTGCAAGACACTCTGATGCCAAAGTAAATTCAGGGAGAGTGCAAGCCAGTGTGAGTATGAGTATGAGAATGAATACCTGGCCCTCTCAAATGAGAGGGTATTTATAGCCCCCAGTGATGGGCCAACGTCCCCATTGTTGGGCCACGACGAGGCCCAATAATTAAGACTGACATGGCTTACGTGTGTATGGAGTCTAGCAAGTGGACTCCCCCATGGTCAACTGCTCCGTGAGAGTATATATTGGACCCATGATTTCTGGAGGGCGGTTAAGATGACAGTGATGCGAACATATGGGCCACGTTCCCTAACGAATGCGTGGGGAGTTTCCCAATAGTCCCTAGCTTGGGTGGCTTGCCTTTGGGCCTTATACAAGGGTGTTGGATTAGGCCTCCCAACTGTGGGGTAAGTGCAGGCCCAGTCCAGATCAGAATCCCCTCAAGTTATTTCCCTTAGGTGAAAGGGTGATGACTTCAGTTCAGCTTTTATAGCCGGGGAGAATTCGCTCGAGAAGGGAGGTCGAAGTCCTCTGAAAGGAAATGAGTTGTTGCCTGTGTTGAGGACAACCTCTTTGATTGTGTCGGAGATCTCGTGGACAAATAAGTTGTGAGACTAACTGGGTCAATTGTTTTTCCGGTGTCTGACATGAATGTATAAGCTACGGGGAGCTTCTACGAACTCCTTTTCGACATGCCCGTCTTTAAGGGGTTGTCATGATATCGAGTGTTATTTTGCCCTCGAGGAGAATCGCGACGAACGTGCCTGAATACATGTCTCAGCCATGGTGTCGAGCATTTCTTCGTGTGAGGCGTGTGCCTCGTGCTCGCGTAGGGAGTTGTGTTGAAGTCGGGGACTTGTTCGTCTCTTGAGAATGCATATGTGGCTGATTGTTGGGCCATGTGGTTGTTGCTTTGGGGTGCCATCTCTTCATGGGGAGTCCAAAAGGCCCAATCCAATGATGACTTTTCGTTATGAACCTCGTGGGGTGTGAGCCACCTATAAAAAGGGGACCCTTGGGTTTCATTTTTCATTTCTCAAGTTTTCTCCTTCAAATTCCCTTGCTCACGCATGAATCCTCTCCTCTCAACTTTTCCAGATTTCTTTCAAGAATCCTTCATCCAAGTAAGTCATATCTCCTTAACAATGTATTTCCTCAATGTTTCTAGATTAAATACCTAGCTTTTACCTTGACTGGATAGATCTTGGATGAACATTCATGAGTTTAGCGATGAACACTCATGAATGTTCATTGAAGTTCATGAGTTTATGATGTCGGGGAGAATCTCCCCGGGTAGTGGGCATGATTTCGGGGACGATTTCCCCGAATAGTTGGGGTTGACTCTGGATTTTTTCCCATTTGACTGGATATCCCCAATGAAAGTATAGTCCATTTTAGTGTGTAGTCGGGGGCTTGGGTCGAGGTTCTCTCCTCGACCGCTTCATCTCCCTTTCACTTGATCTGCGGTGGAAGGGTGAATTTGATAATGTCGAATTCATTGTTTTCCCATGCTTTTCAGGTATAATGGCACACTCGGCCGGGGATGATGTCCTGCCCGCCAACTACGAAGATGAAACCAATGTCGAGGAGGACCCATTGGCCTGAGTCGCACCTGAGCCTCGAAATAAAAGGTCGTGCTTTTCGCACGAAGTAACAGACGCGTTTAATTGTCCGGAGGTTCAGGCTGAAGGGCCCCCCGGATTCTTCAAATTCTCCATCACAACTGGAGGATCTGCTCGACATATCCGGGTAAAAATTTTCCTATGTATGAGTTCGTGTTTAAAGAGGCGGGGGTGAATTTTCCCTTCAACGATTTTCAAGTGGGGGTTTTTCAGTGGCTTCAATTGGCACCCCCTCAACTTCACCCAAACGCGTTAGTGTTCATGCGAGCGTTTGAGCTCGTCTTCCAGTATCTACAGATAGGCGCTATGCTGCCCCTCTTTTTCTGTATATTTCACCTTCAAAGGCAATCCATTGGAGGAGGGTAAGCGTGGGTGTCCTTCAAACAGTTTGGGAAGCTTTTTAGGTCTTATCTGGAATCTGTCTGACACTTCAAAGAGATGTACTTTGTTGTGAAACCTTTGACGGAAGCGGCCATAGACTCCCTATACACCTGCGTGGAGGAATTGGAGGATGGGAGACCAATTACCTGGCTCGTGGCCAGATTTACACTCGAGTGGCAATGGAAACACTTCGAGCAAAGGCCTGAGTATTATGTTGTAAAGCCTGAGGACTTGGACGCTCAGGACCATCTTGCCTATGAGAAGCTGGCGGCCTATGTTAGGAGCTTCTTCCCCGCGAGGTGTTTGGACGTGAACAACAACCTCCTCTTCGACAATACCGGGGAGTACCTCTTACTTAATAGTTTTATCAACACGAAGGCCCTGCTCGAATGTTCCTCAGACGATGAAGCCATGAGGCTTTTAGGTAGGGGACGCGGTCGTGATGATTATTTTTGTTTATCTTTCATGCAGGGATGTGCCTGCGCTATTATCCTTGTTTAACCCATGACTGACAGTTTATTATTGATTACAGGTCAGATGGCATCTATTGTACCCGAAAAATTTCCCTCTCATTTTATTCAAGACATACTCATAGAGGTCCTCAATTGGTCAAGGTTGACAAAGAATTGGCCAGACAAATTCTCCTCCTAAGCAATGGACTTCCAACTAGGGTTTCAGTTCTCACAAAGAATTTTGGGTTGCAAAGTTTTCAAGTGATTTCCAAGGTCCCTAATATGTCCTCAAGAATGTCCATGCCAAATTTCATGCCTTACACTACAAGCTTGCTCAGTCAATTGCTTGTGTTGGAAAACCAACTATATTAGGTCAAAAGCCAACTGTGACCAATATATAGTCAAACTTCAAGATTTTTGGTCAATATAAACATTTTGAAGTTATATCCATCATTTGATAAATGGTTGATCATGATCCCCCTAGGAATGCTCTCAAATCATCAAGAGTCCAAAAGTGCAAAATTAGGATTTACAAAAGAAAGTCAACTAAACTTTGACCAGGCATAACTTTCACATGCTTCATCCATTTTGCCCCACCAAAATCTCATTGTGAAGAAAACTCAATTCCCTACAACTTTTATTTTGTCCTCAAGTTCAAAAATGTATCATCGGAAAGATATGAGTCAATACATTACATGTCTTTTTGAAAGTCAACAAAAAGGCATTTTTTATCAAGTCAAGTCACATCAAGATAATTTATCCAAATGCAAAATTGGTCAACATAGAAATTGTAGGGGACATCTTGAGATTTCTGAAAAGTCAAAGATCATCTCCAAAATATAAAAATTGAGTAAATTATGACCAGTACAAATTAGGTAAATTGGTGAAAATGCAAAAGGTCAACTTTGAGAAAAATGCATTTTTAAGTTCATATAACTATTTTGTGGGATTCAAATATGTTTATGACTTACTCAAGGACTCCTAAATTTATTTTTACCTTACTTTGCATTTTTCTATATTTTATTCATATTTATTTTTGTTTTTATTCAAATAAATACAAAATAAAATGCATAAAATATTAGATCAATGGTTTGGACATATGGGCTTGTGTGTTGGGTCAGCCTTGGGCCCATAAATTCGTGCAACACTGTCCAGGTTCATTGCAAAACAGATTTGGCAAGAATTTCTCAAATAAGGACATTTTTCAAAATTTGATTTTTGTGTTTAAACCATGGCTTAATGTGATGATTTCCTTCCACATTTGTTTATTCTCCTCACTCCTCTATATGTACTGGAGCAAGGCAGGCCAAGAGGACACGCACAAATTTCCTAAGGAAGCCATACCAAATTTCACAAAAAAAAAATCTCCAAAGTTGCAAAATCCAAAAACACATTTCCAGCTTCCCTCGATCCATTCTAAACACTCCATCACGTTCCTAAGGGCACCAGGAGTTTATCCATGTTAGTTTCAAGGCTCGTAGAACCCTCAAACAGTTAGATTGTGGGTCACCTGTCAAACAAGGTTTTCTATATTTGAACATTTAGATCTATGTGTTGTTGATGTTTTTGATGGTTTGATTTGTGTTCAACATGTTTATTAGAGAAGGCAGGACGTATAATATGAGAATATTGAGGCCTGAATTGTGTGATGCCATTATTAGGGCATCACAAACTGAAAGCTTCGCAACTCATAACCTAGTGGCTTTTAGACTAAATGAATATCACCATTGAATTTATAGACCCCAAATTAGGGGGGTATGGTTGTTTTCATTCTTGTTATGTTTGATTTCTGCGGGTTAGATATTTTGAGC